TTGTCGTTAGTGGTTGTCATTTAAGTGTCGCACGTGCCTTGCACGCTTGTTAGGGACCGCCCCTCATTTGTTTACGAATTGCACGTTTCATCTATTGTTAGTTTAAATTTTCACGTTGTAACCTTTACGAGACATAAAAGGACTATATTGTCCTCATTAATTTACTTTTAATTTAATTATAATTTATTTTGTATTCACAACTCCGTTCAAACTGAGATTTAGCCTACGCCATCAACAACTTCCTTCACCGCTATCATCTCTTCTCTTTTCTCTATTCAAATGTGTGATTTAAGGTACGCCATCAATAACCCTTTTACCTCTAGATTTTAGATCAACACTCCGTTCATAGATCTCTATTCTGACAACTCTCTTCTCTTCTCCTGTCACCTTCTTCTCTGGTGATGACATGTATTGGTTGCTATAGCTGAGAAAGAAGACATGACAAATATCTATGGTTTCAATTCTACATCTCAGTCACCGGATTTTGCATAGCCGGAAGGATTTCATGAATGAATTTTGGTTTGAGATTTCATCTTGAAAATAAGTGTTGATTAAAGGTTCTAGATTAAGATTTGGTGTTGGTTATAGTTTTCAAATTCTGTTCTAGTATCGGATTTGGGTTTGAGTTTCAGATTCTAGTTATAGTATCATATTTGATGGTGAGTGGTGGTGCTTACAGGTGGTGCCGGTGTTGATAGGAGATATGTAACACCAGCAGATTTGGGCTAGTCAATTAAAAAATAATAAGCGTTCAAAATGACTTTTTGATAGAAGATTATTAAGGATAAATAATATTAATCAAAGTTATAGTATATGTGACAAGGATTTTGTACATATAAAGAACGTCGAAATCCGATTTCGTATGAAGAAGTTATGCTTCTTCGAAGTTTCGCGATTAAACTGACACGACTCTACGTATCGACAAAAGTGAAATTTTTGATAAATTACTTTTTAACCTAAGTGATATAAATAAAAGTCATAGCAATCGTTAAACCGAGAGCGTGCACATAGAGAACATCCAAATCTGACTTCGTGAGATGAAGTTATGATTTTTCGAATTTTTGGTGCACCAGTGGGGGTACATAAATCGAAATTCAAATCCGTTGATTGTTAGCTGAAAAAATCTAAACGAGAATTGAAGATCTCATGAATATTAACCTGTCGATATAAAGACAGTCGATAAAGGAGTTCGTATGAATAAGATATGAATTTCTCACGGACTTTAACAATCTAAACCAATGTAAATATGAATTTTAGTTATAGTGAGAGTTAGCGGTTGAGACCTTAATGAAAGTTGTAGAGCTTGCCGAGAGGATTTTGGGGATATAAAGAACGTTGAAAACGGAGCTCTTATGCAAAAGTTATGGTCGTCCGTGTTGGATTAGGTGTCTAAGCCCATAACTATAATTGGTATGTACTTGAATTGATAGTAGCACAGTCCTTTTGGGTTGCCTTCACACTAGCAACTAGACAAGATAACATATTGAGAAAGAGGAAGAATTTATTATTTGGAATATAAATATATATAGGAAATGATTTATTAATGTATTATGAAAATAATATATTAATTAGAAATCATATTATTAATTAATATTTACTCAGAAATTAATTTGGAATTAATTTTGGAAAGTACAGGGGTTGTTTAGCAATTAATTAATAGTTATGGATTTGGGCTCTTAGACCATCCTAGAAGGGATGGACGAAAACTTCTAGGGAGGCCCTAGAATTTTTGTCCATGACCTAAGGGATGGGGAGTCCATGGGCTGCTTAGGCCTTAAGCTGGAAATTAGGGTTTCCTTCAGCAAAACCCTAGCTTTGGCTCTAAGCAACCAACAACTATATAAAGAGCCCCAACCCCTTGAGATTTCGGCCACATGCTTCCAAACCCTAGAAGAGCCGAATTCTAGTACTTCCTCCTCCTATCTCCTATCATCCTCTTGCTTGGTGTGTTTGTGAGCCATTAAAGGTGTTACATTTGTGACACTTTCTCTCAAAGCTCAAGATCTTCAAGGATTTCATTGTTATTACAATATAACAATCAAGGTATGTATCCTAACCCTAGTTTATTGTTAATTTCGAAAATTATACATGCCTCCTAGGGTTTCTTGTTTTGTGTTCAATGCTTGTATGTCTAATAGAGAAAACATAGATCCAACAATTAGGGTTGCATGCACACATAGGATTGTTTTCTATGCTCAAAACCCATTAGTCTGAAGATCTACGAGAAAACGCCTGTGGTGATGACGTGGAAGCATCGAAGTGTGCCATATGGCAAGCCAACCTCTCATTCCTCCAAGAGACAAGTTGCGTTGCAAGATACGGACGTGACATGTGGCTCCATAAGAGTGTGACACATGTCATATTATAGAAGAAGGAAATGTGGACAGATCAAGGTGCGACATGTGGCGAAGAGGGGGATGGAGCCAACAAGGTGCTGAGGCGTGGCATGCCTATGTGCCATGCGTGGCGCGTGCCTGCTTCAGTATATATAGACCCTTCGAGTTTACTTCATTTCCACACCAAATTTCCAATCCTTTCTCTCTGAGCCACTATTCCTTCTTAAGTTCGATTTTTCTTGGTTTCTTGAGTAATTTAGCGGAATTCTAACGTATCTAGGAGTCTGAAAAGAAGGAGTATTCGGGTCGAGATTTTGTTCGCGTAATTTCCCGGTTTTCGCTAAAACCTCTTTAAGTTAAGCTACACTCTTTTGCTTTCGGTGTAACTTATATTTATAGACATATATCGTTAACATGAACCTATAAATAAGATTTATTAGTAATTCCAAGTCATTATATTGATTGATCTACTTACGGGGATGATGTCTAGGCTGGATTTAGTGAGGTGTTTAAAGTGCGATTTCCAAACAGTATACTCTGTATACCAAACGGACCCTACATTCGATATGATCCTACCTAGTTGTTCCTTACTTGATAGATCTTGATGTAGACATTGGGATTAGTGAGGAATCTAGACTATCATTAGTCATAAGGAATATCAGACTAATACTTAGTAATATGAACCTAGGTCACGTCAGAGGAAAAGCTAAAGGTGTTAGGCGAAGCTCTGCCGAAATCACCAGTCATTCACCTAAGTCAAGTGAGTGCATAGTTACTTTCAATTTACACATAGATATCAAGTATTTAATCTTCTTAGATGTTCTATGTGCTTATTATTTGCGTTCCTGATAATTGTGCTAAATGAGATAATGATTAATAAATTATATATGTATTTTATTATACTTATATTGTATCGAGTAAAAATGGTAGATAGAGAAAAAAAGATAGAATAGTGGTGAGAGACCATACCAGAGATAATATAATGGTGAGAGACAATGTCATAGATATAATAGTGGTGAGAGACCATATTAGATGTAAGATAATGGTGAGAGACCATGCCAAAGATAGAATGGTGGTGAGAAACCATACCGGATGTAATATAATGGTGAGAGACCATGCCCAACTAAGAGCAGATATTTAGCAGAGTATTGATGACAACCACAAACTTTTCTAGATACTCCAGCGAAACACTAGCAGACTCACAATCTGTAGGTGTTAATGAATCATACTATCCGGGAGTATGGATTGTGTGTTCATTCGAATACTCTATCCCCCTCATGGTTGCCTTACCGACACATATTGCTAAGGAATCCCCGATGCAATGTTGTGTACTCGTTGTTACAAAGATCCTCTAGGATATAAATTTAAAACAATATGATATTAATATTGTATGTTGGAAACCCTATGTGCTCACCAGGCTCCCAAGTCTGACCCATTCAGTTTCTTTGTATCACATGTATCAATATGAATGTACAGTCCGCTGAGAGATTCAAGTAGTATAAGTTATTAGTGCAATGAGTTATTGTAAGGCGTGTAATAATTACGTTTATGCTTATGTTTCTTGTATCAGTTATGACACCAAAAAGTTTATAATAATCCATGAAAAACATTTCTTCAAAAATATTTTTTATGGGACAAATTCCGCATTACAATAAACACTGTTTTAAAATAAGCATAAATAAAACGGTCTTTTCTGACCGAGAAAATTGGGGATGTCACAAGATAGTCGTGATCGGTGTCCGGAGAGAGAGAGAGAGAGAGAGAGAGAGAGAGAGAGAGAGAGAGAGAGAGAGAGATGAAAATGATATAAGTTTTTAAAATTTATAGTTAACCTAATTTAATTGATAAATTATAAACAAATGAAAAATAAATAGAAAATGGCAATAGTCATTTAAAACAAACGAGAGACTGATCGGGCATGTGGGGCACTTAATCGGCAACCACTAACGATGATAGGACTAACCATACAAGGAAATGACAACCCAGGGATGGTCAAAGTTAATTTTTGAAAATAGGGACTGAACGAGCATTTGCATCTACAAGAGGGACGATGCATGTAATTTATTCTAATTAGTTTATTTTTCCTTGATACTGCAAAAACACAAATAATGTGAAAGCTTATGTTACCTTGCTAACTTTCTTCAAGTGGGTTGTTTTCATGATTCAGGTGTACAACTTTACTGATTGGTCCAAGACTCATCCTAAGGTCAACTTCATGGTCTGATATTTCTGTCGGTGAAAAATTATATACTTATTTTCTAGGATGATATGATTTTGGAAATTTAAGAAAACAGTGTCTAAATTCTAAAGATGTCTTATTCGCGTAAGTTTGGATTATGGTGAGTTGAAACGTATTAGATGGGGCATAAATGGGAATCACATATAATTTTCCAAGTGACATTTTGGCGTTTGAAAAGGGTTAAGGATGAATGGAGGAGAAGAGAAGGGTGACTCAAAAGTCTTGGTCTTTTTCAATAAGGAGAAAATTACAAAAGTGATGGAATTTCAATGCTTTTGGCATGCAAGCCGAGAAAGCTTATTAAATATTACATAAAACCTCAGATCTTTCAGTCTAATTGTTCCAAAGAGTACTTCCTCTAGAGAACACATAGATCTGGCTGATAGTAAGCGTCTAACTAACCTATTTCTTGTTGGACATCTGAAATGATTCTTGTGGTCTTTTTTGCCTCCTTTCTTCTCTCTTGTCTACCTTTTCTTCACTCTGCTACAAACCACAGCATTTCTACATCAATCTGCCCAAAAAGTTTCGTTTGCCCACATTTAGCCCCATCCAAGTACCCTTTTTATAATGCCAGTGACACGCAATGCGGGTTGATCAAGGTCAACTGTACTTCGTATGGTGGGGAAATTCGTCTTGGAAGAGACTCATATCAGATTCATGGCAATTTTGTATCTGATTCTTCCATCTGGGTTGTTAACAACATGTTTGAAAAACTTGTACAGAAGGAAAGGTGTGAGGCACTTATGTATAATTTCACTTCTCCAAGTCCTCTTTTGTATTCCACTTCAATCAAACCTTTCATCACGCTTTACAAATGTACAAACAATTCCACTTATGATGCACGAACGGAGGCTTATTTTCACCAATTTAATTACAATAGCTATAACAAATGCAAAGACCACAACTTCTACTATAAGTATTCAATCAGCAACACAACAATTCTAAGTGATCTCCCACCTACATGTCAAGTAATACGGCTGCCTGTAGAGACAGGTGACCATAAAGTACTTAACAAAACCAACATATTTTCTCTTCTCAGTTCTGTATTCTCTATTTCAATTAAGCTGTCACCTTCCTGCGATAAGTGTCACAAGGAAGAAGGCCAGTGTCATACTCCCAATGGACAGTTTCTATGTTCCAACGCCAAAATGGGTGATGCGCACTGGCACAACCATGATGGGACTCAAGTCTACCAACACAAAAAAGGGTATTTATGCCTTATCTTTTCCTTTTCATTTTCTCCTTATTTTGGGTACACCAGAATTGAAATGTAACTCATCGTTTGTTGTTTAATTGCAGCAGAAATAGAAAAAACACACAGAAAACTGACACTCATCCTAGGTAATATATCCCTTGATCGATTGTTCGATACACTATTACAAATTATATAAATGCACATAAACACACACATACATCTGTAAGAATTTTTACCTAAAGGTATTTTAATTTCTTGCTATAGTTCTCGCTGGATCTGCCTTCATCCTCATCCTCTCTCGTCTTATGTTCATAATCTGGCGACGCTACAAGACCAACCTTCCTTCCTATTACTCATCAAAGGACGACATATCACCAAACAATGAAGATGGGAGTCTTTTCTATGGTGTCTCTGTTTTCTCCTACACAGAGCTTGAAAATGCCACCGAAAATTTCGACCCTTCTAAGGAACTAGGGAATGGAGGTAAAAGAGCTGTTTACTATGGTAAACTCCAAGATGGCCGAGAAGTTGCAGTGAAGAGACTCTACGAGCACAATTACAAGCGAGTCAAACAATTTATTAATGAGGTCAAAATCCTCACCAGATTGAGGCATCCCAACCTCGTGGTCCTCTATGGTTGCACTTCTCGACAAAGCCATGAGCTTCTCCTTGTGTATGAGTACATCTCCAATGGCACTGTTGCAGATCACCTCCATGGCGAACTATCAAATCCAAGCTCGCTAACATGGCCCTTACGTATGAATATCGCCATTGAAACTGCCAGAGCTTTAGTGTACCTTCATGCCTCTGAAATCATACACCGAGATGTCAAGACCAGTAACATTCTCCTTGATCACAATTTCAGTGCCAAGGTAGCAGATTTTGGGCTCTCCAGGCTCATACCGAATGATGTCACTCACGTGTCTACAGCTCCTCAGGGAACCCCAGGATACGTGGATCCCCAATATCACCATTGTTACCAATTAACGGATAAGAGTGACGTTTACAGTTTTGGAGTGGTCTTGATTGAACTAATATCATCAATGGTGGCTGTCGATTTAAGCAGGTCACAAGATGAGATTAGTTTGGCTGATCTAGCTTTGAACAGGATACAAAGATGTGCGTTAGATCAATTGATAGACCCGGATCTAGGATCCAATTCAGATGCTGAAATTATGAGGATGATAACATCAGTGGCAGAGTTGGCTTTTCAATGTTTACAGTATTATTCAGAAATAAGGCCTACGATGAGTGAGGTGTTGGATGTGTTGGAGGATATTCAAGCCCCAGGGAGAATTGATTCTGTAAAACCGCCACCACCGTCTGAAGCCAGTGATAAGACGGTTTTGTTGAAAGACTTCTTGCCTTCGCCGGTCTCCGTCACCGGTGAATGGCACAGCGAAAGCACCGTATCAACTACACTTAGCGTTACATAGATTCCTAATGAAGAGCCGTATCAGAACAAAGCATCATCATGCAAATTCAGGTACATAGTATGGTTTCTGTTCGATTATTCCATCGTTTCTATGCCTGAATATGAAACTTTTCATGAGATCAGTAAAAGGAATGTAAATAATATTAGAGATGCATCATTATTGTATACCACCAATGGAGCAGTTTTATCAATTGCTGAATTGCGTTGAGTTTGCACTTCCATGAGAGATCTGTTTTAAAGCCCTTTCAAATCCCTTGCAAACTTCAAGTTTGTTTCAAATAGGGGAAAATTTCTTTTCAAAGGTTTTTACAAAAAAAAAGGTAAGAAAATACAAAATGACATTAATTTTTCCACTACTATGTGATTCTTTTTATATGTGTGGAAATTTAGGTGGTCTTCAATTTTATTTTTCGAATATTTTTTTTTGAACTTTTTGTTTATAAAGTTTTCTAGTTTAACATCTGTTAAAATCTTGATGGCCTATGACTTTTTTAAAGATTTTTAAAGTCACTCTTGTGATAGGGGACGAGCTAAAAGGAGTATTATTTTTCCAGATCCAATTGAGAGTGTAATATGTGAATGCATGACTCTTGTTACAAAAAAATAATAATAATAATAATAATAAAATATACATTAGCTCAAACCTAGTTCATTTTTAAATTTATGAAGGATTAAAGTTGAGTTTTTTTTCCTTATTTTTCATCGAATAACCTACTTTGGAGCTAAAAAAGTTAAGGTTATCAAAAACGATGGATGTTAGTTAGTTGGACAACTAGGGGTAAGAGAATAATCGTCTAGACAGGGATTAATCATGGAGAATAAATTATTCATAAATTAATATATCATAAGAAAATAAGTATTTAAAATTTGAAAAATTGAGATTTTGTAATTTTGAAAACTAAAACTTTTGGTATAATATTTGAAAGTTTAAAATTTCGAAATTTTGAAAATTTTGGTATAATATTTGAAAATTTTGAAATTGAAAATGTTGAAAATTTCGGCCACCTAGTATTGCCTAACTCCGCCAAGAACCCAATATTGACTGAGACCGCATAAAAAGGCCGCTTAATACCAATTGTAGACAGGTCGAGGCCGCCTAACGCCTAAGGATTGATTAATGACTAGACCAATTTTTACAATACTTAAAAAAGTATGACTTTCTGACATCTAAATTTGGTATGTAATATGATCATAAAAAACCTTTGTTACAATAAAAAAATCCAGATAGAAATGGAGTTCTTATGAAAAACAATTATAAAGGTTGAAATTTACAAAAAAATAAATAAAAAAAAACAATTTTTTTTTACGTGCGAAAATCTGGACTTTTGCAAGTGGTCAACTTACGAAAATCATGACTATTTTTGATATTATTGTCTATTTTGTGGTAAAGCTTTGGAAAAACTAACTATTATTTTCATTTTCTACCAAAAAAAACTTTTAACTTTTTTGAGTTTTTCTTTTCTATGGTTTTATCTTTTTTTTTTTTCGGTTTTACTGATTTTAATGCAACTTCTAAATTTTATAATTTTTTTATAAGTTTCTTTGAGCGAAAAATCAAAAACAGTAGAATTTTTTAAATTACATTAAATTATGTGTGAAAGAATTGGTAATTTTTTTGACTAAAAATAAATTTATATATCATTACTTATGTTTTATTATAAAGAGAAACAGTTTATCTATCTCATCTTAATTTTTGCCATAGTTCATTAAATTAGAGCATGTTATCATCATCACTTCTATACCCCCACCCAATCATTCACCACCCACTCCACCCACCTTACCCTAACACCCATACACATATTCATACCTCGTCCCACCCTTACACTACCTACCCAGACTTTATGCCCACCCCTACACTACATACCCACCCACACATATACGTACACATACATATATTTGCATACATACTAACATCCACAAGCCCACATTGATGCACACCCCACCTTACCTCGTCCCCTATCCCAACCTAACACCCACACCCATAAGCACTCACTCACGTTAACATGCCTACATAAGTTTGAGTGGATAAGAGTTTAATTAATCAACGTTTATCATTTTTATTAAAAATAATAATAAGTTAAACAAAACCATAAACATTATTTTGGTCATATTACGTAATCTACTTTCCAATTCATTTTAAAATATGAAAACCAAGAAGATCAGATTTCATTTTATGTCAACCAAACACATAGTAGATTCTAGTTCCTTCACATTCTAGTTCATTTGATAGATTTCATTCGTTCCAAAAGTTTATTTGAACCAAACACCCCCTTGGTTTGTAGAGATTTTACATTCTTGAGATCATGGTATCGATTTGCAGGAGTATAAAATTTTATTCGAGTAGTAGTCTAAGAGGGTACCAATAGTTGACGGCAATAAAATGTTGTTAATCGGTGGTTTACTTGCAGAAAATGTACAATTATTAATGTTAACAACTAAAGTAGGAGTCTTAAGTTGTGTTTTTTTTAAAACACTTCTGACCACTTATGGTTGCGCCGCGCAGCACACGCGCAACACTTGGCCCTTCGCAGCTGTTTGTTTTTCAGAAGACTTCTGACTTAAAAACTGTTGCGCGTGTGTTGCGTAGCGCAACACTTGACCCTCTGCTTCAAACCTCTTCACACCTTATTTTAACTTATTGCAGCAGTCTGCAGAGGTTAAAAAACAAACAGACTTTTTATTACATGTTGCATACGTTTGGTCTCCCTCTTCTGCTACAGAAGGTTGCAGAGGTGGTCCGCAGACTTCAGACATTTTCTCTTCAAAAAAACAAACGACACCTTATTTTCAATTGAATCGAGCACTCTGTGGGTAGTACGTCGTATGTCAACCATATAGTGAGAGATGTGGGCCAACTTAGGAGTTGACATAGTCAGAGAATAACATTTTTGGAGAAAAGTGTTGTTTCCTTGAGGAACTTTTCTGCAAGTATAATAATAGTAAATGTAGATGTTATTTCCTATTTTGTTACTACGTTAATATTTAAAAGCCCAATCCAACCCGATACTCAACTCGCAAACCATAGGTGCAAAAAAGGGTGCTCGACCTCGACCCAACCCATCCTATAGGCCCAAAATGTCGATCATGGTCAAATCTTACTCAACCAGTGGAAGTACAGATCGGGAGACCATCCTTGAAAAACAACCTGGTAAGGCATTTTGGCCTTGCATGGGCTGCGTTTAGGCCTGAAAGTTGGGTTTCTCGATTTTTTTTTTATGTTTTTTAAGTAATAGAAACATATTTTATTGGTTTGTTTATTATAAAATTTTAATTTCATTTCTTCCTATTATAGCATCCTCATTTTACTTTTATTTCTTCATACTAATGCATCCTACTTATTTTGGTTTGTTTATTTGTATGCTTAATCCTCTTTTATTTTATTGAGCTTCAAAATTATGTCCAAGACCAATAAAATATGTAATAATGAGCATGCAGTGGAGCTATCGAAGTATTGATAAAAGAAACAAATCATCACCGCAAATGATCAGTTTAATCATTGGTCAATCTTTGGGACGGACAACTATAAACACATAGTTTAAAAGAAATTCATACTCTTTCCTAGCCTACAACCGTAATTAGGAACATAACCGGTTACAATCTTTATCTCATTGTCTAGATAAAATTTGTAAGAAAACTTGCCTTGTTTATCTCATTATAGTTTTCCGCTCCAAAGCTATACCACTACCACTAATTAGATTAGTGATAACGAGAGAACATTAACACCAATGGAATCATACTCACAGACTTAGTAAATCCTTTTTTTAAATCATGTAAAACAGATCCATGTATAGCCCGGCAAAAAAAGCTCGGTAAAGGCCCAACTATACTCTTGAAAACTCGACCCGTTGAAGCCATTGCCTGACCCACCTGTTTACCGGTCAAAGCCCGAGAAAGCTCATCTGCTACCTTGTCTGGGTCCCAATGTTCACCTCTACCCTATAAATAGAGTATAACATTGATATACTATTTATACATATCTAAATATTAAATTATATTTTATTTAATTAAAAAAACCAGAAAAAAAAAGTTTTGTAAGTTGTGGTATGACACCCACGAGTTTTATGAGGTGAGGGAAAATGATGTGGGAGGCTACAAGTATAGTATGGTATGGCAGGCTACAAGTGTAGTATGATATAGTATGATATAGTATGACACCCACTTGAAGAATCCATTTTCAAGTGATAAGACTTGAACGCATTTTAACAACTCCTTTAATAACAAACGGTAAAATAAGCTATTTTCCCCCATATTCCGTTTTTCTATCGAGCTTTTTAAAGTCAATTAAGTTTGAGTTCATTACTACATACATTAAAATTTTTATTTTGTGGATTTATTCCAATACGTTTATATTTGGTAAAATGGGATTTAATTTGACCCATAACAATAATCTATTTATATCTAAGGAAAATTTGGATAAAATACTGATGTACACAAAATATACCTATCAACTTTTAAATTTATAACCTAACAAACTTATACTAACTATACACCTATAGGCAGTGTACCTAGTCAGATTATAGTATAGCTTGGGTAAGTCGGGTGTCGATCACAGCGAACGGTATTTAATTAATAAAATAATTACTAAAAGCTAAACTAAGAAAAACAACTAAAAGTGGGGGTTTTATCTGATTTTACAAGTTCAGAAAAACTTAAGCACTAAAATAAAAACGATTGTAATCAATATACTAAAACACTTTCGTTTAGTTTCGAATCCACCTTTTTTTCTATGGTTAGTTCTTATTTATGGATTAATAAAGTTGGTTACCAAGTTGTTGTAATTAGCAATTCAAGTCCAAATTTACTAATATTTTCACCAATTCATGAACTACATTGTATGGTCATACATAAGCAAAACACAAAATTAGTTATTCATTATAGATGGGCTATGTAAGATGTATCTAAACAAACACAATTATGGTCACAATTATGTTCTCCAGCACAGCTAAATTTGTTACTTTTATTACTTATCTAAGATTTGGTCGATCCTAGCTCTAGCAATTTAATGGTCACTAAATCACTAGGTAATCAAGTTCATGTAATTTAAAGGTCCCTAAGCTACACTACACTTGAAATTAAGCAACAAAGTTACAACCTTTAACATGCTAGGTAATGATAATCAAACACATGCATAAACCAAATTCATATAATCCATAAAGTAAGAAACTAACTCATAGTTTTAGGTTTCATCTAA